TATCTATCTATCTATCTATCTATCTATCTATCTATCTATCTATCTATCTATCTATCTATCTATCTATCTATCTATCTATCTATCTATCTATTACATTTGTATCCTATTCCTGTGGAGTAAAATGTAACGTCCTTGCCCAATGTCAATGAAATTCTTGAACTAAATATGGGTCAGAGGCCTATTGGTCACTTTTTTGCTCACAGGTTTACTCAACGATATGAACAGTCATGCTTTTTCTCTCTTATCTTTTTAACTGATTCTTACCTGAACTACAAGGCTTTTTCTTAACTTTCCTGACTTAGAGTTTATAGAATTACTACAGAGAAATGGTTTTATTGAAGACTCTAAACTTAAGAATTCTATCTGAAAGCTGAAACACAGCCATTAATCTTAGAATTTACTTTCTGAAGTGAAACAGAAGACCTTAATATTTTAGTCAGAGTCTCAGCAGTTCCAGTGTGAAATAAATAAAATTTTATCTGAAAGACTGACTCAGTGTTACCACCTTCAAGTGACCACATCAAACATTTATTGATATTTAAGGCACCTCTTGACTGAAGCATAATTTCCAGGCAACGGAGATATCACATACACGGTGATTCTCCTCAATGGATGTGGTTGCCATGGAAACATGGTGGGTAAAAAATAAGGGTTGGACTGCAGGGGAGTGGGCAGAGAGACATGTATGCTAATATAAATTCCTATCATGTTGAAGTAAGAGGTTTGGATCTCACCGGGGGTTGTCTGATTAGGTGGGCAGGTTCAATCACAGTGCTCTTAGAGAGCCAATCGTATTTATTCCAAACACAATTATTAATCACATTTATCAAATGCATAGTTCAGAACAAACACATAGATTAAAGTAGATTCATACTCTGGAATGTATTTTTAAAGACTTGTGGTTTACTTTTCTTTTTCTGCAAATATTATCAGAATTTCTTATCAGAGCTTATATTTCAGCAGTATTACTCACAGAAAGCTCTGAGGGATGTAACAATGGCACATAATATCAACAAAAATTGTCTGTGGGTATGTTTTTCCTTTTTTAAATAGAAGTTGAGCTATCAGAGGAGTCACGCTGGTAAACCCACAGAGCTTGGCAGCAGTTTGGACTAGGCAATGTGCTGCCGCTACGTTCTCCTTTAAGACACAGTGGGAAGCGTATTACTGACTTTTCCCCTTCTGTCACACAGTGTTGTTACTTACATTATAATACTGTATAAAAAAAGATGCTCGTGCATTGACACTTCTTTTATTGGCAGTTCTATCAACAGTCGTTTCATTGAGTCTGAGTGTGTCCTGTTTCCTGTGCTCACAGAGGTAGAAAACCGTCACAGTGGGGTTCACAGGGACTGGTTCCAAAAACACCAGCGACACAAGCATAAGTTCATGCGTGCGTGCATGCTTTTGAACACTTCAGGATACACAGGATACTGTGAATCACACAGGATATTGTGAGGAATATCCTGTGACAGCACAAGCATCTCTTGAGTGAAAATGAGGAGCAAAAAGTGTAATGAATGCCAAATTTCTTACCAGATAAATATTACATCAGATTAGGGGTGGGGAAATCTTATGGTGTGTTGATGAATCTATACCCATCAAACTAAATTACATGTGGTAATATACAAAGTTACAGCCTCTGTCTCATGTCTGCTGTGTGTCTTGAACACTACGTGCAGGTGTATGGGACTGCTGCAACACATTTGCCCTATTATTAGAAGCAAGGTGAGAAATCAACTTGGAGAGCTCAACTTTAAGAGTCTAATTGGTCTTCAGTGCTGTCTGTTGAGCAGATGGGGGCTTTCTGGTTGCAGAGACTAGGTCACAGTATGAATTAATGGTGCAACAAGGAACAGCCAATTAGGCTGGTCAATACAAACTAAGCTAAAGTGAGGTTAGAGATGCAGAAGCTCTTCTAAAACCTCTAAGAACTGCAAAGAAATGCTGGCGTGGCTGAAGTGGACAGCTATTAAAATCAAATTTCTTCCAATTATTTGCATACATTCTTTAAATGGGAGCAGTATTATCAGCTTACATGAGAATTAAAACATCAACATCTGCTAAAGTAGCTTTTATCAGGCCTCGATCACATCATTAAAACTATCTTGAAACGGCTGTCACACTCACACTGAGCAGCCAAGAGAGTCACACGCTCCCCAGCTGTCTGCGCACAATATTCCCTCTGAAAGGCAAGTTCAAAAAGAAAAGACGGCGTGCTTTACTCAGCTTTGAACCATCAGCTAATGCATTACTGCTCCTGCCCAGCACAGAGGATTTCTCCAACATTAGCATAAAGAGGCTTTGAGAACACTATTCCTTATTGTCCTTACTCCTTATCCCGGTATAACTAATGTGTAAAAAATGACTCACCACCCAGTTCCTTTCAGCAGTGATGGTGATTGGCAGGTATAATCATATTATCTACGCAGAAGTACAGTGTTATTTATGTCTGGCGAATGAGCTGAAGAAATGAATGCACCTCCTTTTTTGTTATCATCAGGTACAGACTGAAAAATAATTGTTATAAAACAATAATTTATATTTTTAATTGTTTAAAATGGTGACACAACTCAAAATTTGAAGAGTAGACACAGTCTGCATGCAGTTTTATTGAAAAGTACTCGACGTGACATTTAATTTAGAGCCCGATCCACTGCACATGAATCATTAAGCCGGGTGAGTATGACAGCCTAAACAGCGTACTTGTCCTATGACATTTAAAACACTACTTTTCTGTGCTTATCTGATTAAAAACTAGATTTAGGTTTAAAGTTTAGAGGTTACAGTGTTATATAACATCAGATAATAAACTGTCAAAAACTGAAGGTTTCAGTCAGAAGACAATACACAAATCATCCACTTCAAAGCATCAGATCTCTACGTATGAAAATGAACTACAAAAAGAAGAGAAAACTGCAACCTCAATAGCTCGTCTTATGATTCCCATCATTATATAATCTCCACTGGGGACCCAGTTTATCCCTCCACCTGGACTTGTCAGCTGAAGGAATTAGGATCCCTCTGTGGTGGCCAGCAGCCAGCTGATTGTGTTTGAATGTGAAATAAATGCATATTTTTCAGAAAAAAAATAGTGCAGTTGTTTAATTTTTATAAAATAAAATAAAATAATAAAATAATGCCCTGTCAGTATGTTTATTCATAGGTCACACTTAGACTGGGAGACAAAGGACAGATGTAAGAATTACACGTGCTAGAGCAGATTTTCTTTGTTTCCTCTTGGTGAGCATGTTGGTGAGCATGCTGACACCATCTGATGATAAAATACATAACATCCATCAAGACACCGTGGTGGTGTCTCCCATAATAAATAACTTACCTTTGAGGTAAATCCTACCCCATCACTCCTGTCTGACTCCTGTCATAACAATGTGATGCGTGAGATACGTGGATGATTCCAAAGCAAAAACACTTTCTTCACTTTTTGCAATGACTCGATATATTTACCAACTGAATTACTTCCCACATTAGGGTCCATCACATTGTTTATGGCGCTGTCCAAAAACAAAAGCCCTGATTGGTTTGAGAGGAATCTCTGCCTCACTCAATTATGTAATTTTTATTTGAGACAGTGAATACACTCGGGTCAAGCAGGATTACAACTTCACATATTCATACAGGGAAATGCTAGCACCTCCACAGTAACACGCAGGTATTGGGATGGCTGATAATAAAGTGAAAGAAAGTCTCCTCCTGCTATTTTTGGTTTGTGTTGACAAATAGACTTTGGTGCGTCAGATGTGGCTTGTGAGAGGGGGAATGGGGATAAATGCTGGGAAAATCATGAACTGCTGATAAGGTATAATAACGGACCTGTTGGGAGTAATGTTGTGGCTGTGGGATACATGCTGGGGGGTGGGGGGGCGACGACTTTGTAACAAAAAAAATAAAAAATAAAAATGCAAAATCACGTCAGATAGGAAAGACACAAAGTACTTTCTGTGTTAAACCCACCGTCAGTATAACATCAAAATTATGAAGGGACCATTTCTTACCTGTTAGTAGCACTAGGTGTTTCTTCCCGAATGGATTTGAAGGGTTTCTTTGCGCAAGCCGAGCTTCAGTACGTTAGAAACGTGAAGAGCTTCATGTGACGAGCAGATTCCAGATGTTGTTCACTTTGGGCATCTTTGCCAGGCATCGGTTTGGATCTGTCCTTGGTTCTGAAGTGTTCTTCACATTGGTAAGTCTTACAAACTCCTTTCGGTGCCCCCCAACTTGTGCCTGCCAGCCACAGTGACTACGAGCCCGTAGACTACCGCCCAAGTGCTCATATATCCATCCACAAGCGCAGCAGAAGGACCGAGGGCTTCTCTTTGTCTCTCACAGCGAGCAGGACTAAGAGGCAAGTGAGTCTAAATTAAATCATAACCGCGCATTTTTTTAACGTTACATTTCATATTGAACGTCGCTTCTCTTCGGAAAGTTCGTCAAATTAACTTCAAAACAAGCGGCGCTGAGAAAATCCTGCCGTAGCCCATCGGCTCAGAGACGCACAGCCACTCGCAGCTCTTCCACAGAGATAATGAGTGCGAGAGTCGACACCGTGCTCGTCTCAGAAACCTGACGATGCTTCATACAGCGTTTGTTTGCAAGTCAGTGAAGGGAGCCACAGCAGCGAAAGATGTGTCATTATTTTGAGTCGCTCCTATTTGTAAAAATAAATAAATAAATAAATGTATAACTATAATAATTTTCACTGTTCTTTCTGCAGGACTAAAGGATAAAAAGGTGCATCAACTTCTCAAACAGGTCAAGTGACTTATTCATGTGGAGCTGAGCTTGTATAGTGTCAATGTCATTTTTAATGATAAACCGAAAAGAAGAAGAAAAAAGGTGATTCGCATAGATTATATAAACCGGATGTCTTCTGCTAAATTTAGCAAGATTTTTTTAAAAGGAAAATGAGCATCAACGTTGTTTTATTTTTTTTGTTTTTGTTTTTTAACCACTCTATGAAGGCTGGCCAGCTCCTTGTTCACCTCCATCTCATTAAAACTGAATCACACTCCAGTTGAGTGCCACAGCACTTCACAAACTCAAGAGGTTGGATGCACAGTTGGTTTTTCATTGGATAAAGCACCCCCCCCCCTCCCCCGTTCACTATACACATACACAATAGATATCATTTAAAAGTTGGCATATTTCATTTTTCTCCAGATAACTAACCTTGCTGTGCTGTTACATGTGTGAATACACATAAACTTTTTCTTGACTCTCTGCGCTAATTATCACTATTAATTTGGCTACTTTAAGGTCTGTGCAGCCAGAAGTGAGGAACTTCAAAGTCTGTTGCTAATTAAGACTAGCTTTACATACAGTTCTATGGCAAAACATTTTTTTAGAGACACACATCTGTGCTACACACTATGCACTTTTCCATGTGTACCAAAACAATATTACATCAGCAACATTCCTGTTGTACAATTAGGGAGAAGTGCAAGGGGGAAAAAATCTGCTGCACCAGCTTGGATTGTGTGTTCACAATTCAGCCTGCTGCACAACCGGTTGCAGTTAAATCCGGTGATATTCAGGGAGGAAGATGAAATTAATTCTGAATGAATTCAGCTCCACTGCAATTCGCCACTTACCCACACATATAAAACACATCTCACCGTTTGCATTTTTTTAATTTGTGGATTAATAAGCTACTTTGCAGTTAGGGGTTGGCAAAAGGCGAACTTTTCCTGTGTACAGTGGCAATTAAAATGACGAGCGGGTGCAGCTTGTTGCATAATTCCCTCAGCTAACACAAAGGGACCAATTTTCTTCCCTGAAATAGAATTGTAGTTTACATTACAATAGTTGAGGGCATGTGGGCGGAATACAGAGTTTATATAGGAACATGCCAATTAATGCCAAGCAAGATTACAGAGGACAGAGGGAAAGTGCTCCCAGCCACTGGCCATTGCACAAAAATCAGACCACTTGTCTCTTTGTAATGATGACAAAACTATCGGTCCACATCCACATCGGTTCTTTTAGTGTTTTGTTAATGTCCACACACATGGAAATGCAATCTTACTTGAAGAAAACACTATCTCACAGACAGACGTAGGTGTAGGTGTCACAGATAAGAAATGGACAAATATCTTCTGATCAGATTACTTTTACCTCAGCTGAGTCAGTCACTCTTATGTACCCACAGCTTGGGCCTCTATGCTGCATTTCCTCCACAACATTTTTATCAGCAGAGGAAATCAGGCTTAGTAGCTTTTAAATATTCAGTTCACCCAAAAAGCTTGTGCTTCCAGTCATTAAGATGGTATCTGTCTTTCACTTCTGTTTCTAAACCCAATTTAATGAAGGCAAGAAGAAGCTGGTTAAACCATTTTTGCAACAACAGTACTTTGAAAATATGCAGACCTCATTGTCAACACTGTTTAGTTTAACAATATAGACTTTTATATGATACATGATATCACTGCTTTAGTTTCAATGACCTAAGGCTCCCGTGTAAAATAAAAGTCAAGGTTTAAGTTCCCATTCTCTGTGTTTATTTGTGCCTAAAGGGAACCTACAATGCCCATTTTCAGCTCCTCAATCTTGGACTTCACTACAGCAGCTTTACATGGTTCACAGCCTTTATATCTCTCATACTTGGTGCAGATCCAGTTCATCAAATGTCTAGAGGAAGCAACCTTATCTTTTCTATATTTGAGACCACCCTCCCTTGAACCATAAGGTTTAAGCAGCAGGTGGATGGGGATGCTGTGCTCACAGCAAGAGCTATGAGCCTGAGATGACCCTAATAAGGACATCCCCTCTCACTGGCATCATTTCAAGCCAAGAGTAGAAAAAAACTGTCAGAAACTGAGCTATTTATAGCAGCCTGAAGGTTGAGGTTCTGGCTCACGAGGATTTCTTGTACACATGCTGACTCCATTATTTGAAACTTTGGCCATACTCAATATTAGCATGTGCTTTTGTAGGATTATATATCACTGCTGCAGGTGACATCACATAAATACATACAAACACAACGCAGTTCCTATTTGCCGGTGTTGATGTAACACCAGTATTAATCTGTGGTTGTAAACATTGTACATGAAGAGTATGTTGGTTCTGATTGAACCTAACACTTTTCTGCATGGTGATGGCTGAGAGATAAAAGCTGCTCCTTAGTCTGCTAGTTTTTGTCTTTATGGATCTGAAACGTCTGTCCGAAAGTAGACGTTCACGAAGGATTTTATTAATGTTCCTGAGACGAGAGCTGTGCAGCTTTTTAAGTGAGGTGAGAGGACAGCTGACTATCCACTGGGTGACCTGTATAATCCTGTTGAGCTTTTTCTTCTGTGCTACTGTGTAGCTGGAGAACTACTCAAAAAATTAACTCTTTGAATGAACATAAAAAAATCATAGAAAGAATTTCCACGTAATTAAATTGCTTTATTTTAGCATTATGCAATTCTGTTATTCCAACTTAATGTACTTGAGTTGGAATAACTTGATTAATTAATGATGAATCAACTGTTTTACTACAGTTGTGTCCAACTTATTTTAATTGATTTGATCCAACCCATGCAAATTACGTTAGTGCAACAAAAAATGCTTATTCGTAATAGAAATCAATTTATTAATCCATTTATTTTAAGTTCATTTAAAGAGTTATTTTTTGGAGTGTTCAACAAAGTCTAGAGTCTGGTTAACATAAAATGTTAATGGATTTATAATAACTTGCACTCCATCCATCCTCTTATCTTTACCAGGGTTGCAGTGAGGCTGGGACCTATCCCAGATGTGATTGCACAACACTGGTCACTATATTCTTCATTTCCAGTTAATACTTGTACAGCTGCTGTTATTGTGTATATATTTTTATTTATATTTCTTCATACATTCTTATATAGTTCTATATTGTATTTTGTATTTTGTTGTACAGTTATTTTATTTTCAACTTTAATTTATATATTTTATCTTATTCTTTCCCAGTTAAATTTACCCTTCATTCTAATTTGTGTTGTACAGTTATTTCATTTTTAACCTTAATTTATATTTTATTCCTTCCTAGTTAAATTTACCCTTTTTAATTTTTCATATTTATTTCCTATCTTATTCATAGCCTTTTCTTTTTTTTCTTTAGGTCACGAGCAGTTGTCTAAGCATTTCACTGCATATCGTACTGTGTATGACTGTGTACGTGACAAATAAAAATTTGAATTTGATAGGGTGGGAGTCAGAATACTGGACAGGTCACCAGTCTATCACAGAGAGACAGACAACCATTTGCCCTCATGTTCACAGATATTTTAGAAACACCAATTAGCTTAACCCTAATTACTGCATGACTTTAACCAGAGTACCCAGAAAGAACCCACTGCACACTTGGCCAGATTGCAGATTTGAACCCAAGACCTTCTTGCTGCAAGGCAACAGTTCTAACCACTGTGCCACCGAGCTGTCAATCTAGACTTCAAAAAAATAGGGAAACTATGATTACAAGGCTTTATATAGAATTTTAAAAACCACAATAAATAGCTGAGGGACATACGTATTGTATGTATAGTTGTCTGTCTCTTCTAACCCCGGTGATTTTCCTGTGGTTTGAACTCATGTGTGATCTTGTGAATTTTGTGAATCCAGGCAACTAACCACTCTTACTAGATTGTATCATGTCATCTCAACAAGAATAAATTAAGTTGCTGGTTTTCATGCAGATCCTACATGATTTAATTACGTTCACCACAGAAACATGAAATTATTTTGTGCACATTACAAGTTTGAATTTTGTAAATTTAACAACCACCCAATTTCATTTTTTTGATATGCACAGAAACAGGAGGCCAAGAACATGTGAAAAAACCCACATCAGTTTAGTACTGTAATACTGGATTTGAATGAGGCCCAGCTATAATGAAACTGTAATTCTGACAGTTTAGGTTATAATTTGTAGTTTCCCTTTGTTTTGTAATCCAAATATGCTTATCTAACCCAGGTGGGTTTTTAAAATCTGTAACCTTATTTCACTGTTGATGCTTCTTGTCCCGTGTGAGTATTTTTAGAGATGTCACCATGTTCCCAGATCTTAGTAATACCTCTGGTGAGTCCATTTTTTTCTCTCACCAGAAGAAATAATACTTGGAAATTTGAAAAATGATAAATAAGATGTAAGAAATGCATTTAAATGCAAACTTACAACAACTAGGTGGTGTGTGTGTGTGT